CAAAGATTCCTCCTACAAGATCTTTCCAGTATAAACCTGTACTTGATTTGTGTAAGATTTCCAAGGCCTTATAGAAGCATTTGGACAAAAATTAGTCTCAAGGAGGTTTTAGTGTACAAGAAATCAAAGGAAAAATCAAGAAACCTTAGTTTCGAAAAGAAAACTTTACAAGAAATTAAAAATCTCACGCAACAAGTTTATATAAACTTTATTTCTTTCAGTTTTTGTTTATAAGCAGCTCCAAAACTTTTAGATCTGTAGCAGATCAAACACTTTCTTATCATATCCAAGTATCTTGCTCCTCAGAATGGCTCTGAAATCAATGTAAGTTGTAATATACATGTAGTACAATCGAAAATATATTTATACATCTATAAAGTTGACCATATTGGAAATGTTTATCAACGTGAATGTTTGATTGGGCTATATTCGGTCCATATAAAACATTCCGGACCTTAAGTTTTATTGAAAGATCCAATACACGTTCAATTATTGGGCAATAGCAGTATCAAGGGGCCCAAATACGACATCTGGCGCGCGGAATTCCCACGTCAACTAGGGTTTAGGGTTTTTTTCCCCAAATTCTCTCTTTGCTCCTGTATTCGTATACGTTAGACATTTTTCTTTTCAATTTCGGACAACACCGTGAGCAAATGGGGAAGAATAAACAAAATTTAATATTGCCGCCTGAGCTTCCGCCGGAAGCTCTGGAAGAAGATATTGAAGTTTCCGATGAGGCTTTACAATTTATCAACGAAAATATGGACTATGCTGGATTTGTATCAAATTTGGACGCTCTCACACTCATTCAGCCACCAAGTAAGGCTTTTTTAATGGATTGAGAATTTACTGCTACTAACCAATCAATGAATTTCCTACATGCTTTTCTTTACTTTTTTTCTTCCGATAATGCAGTCAAAACAGGAGCAAATTACTGGGTAATTGGCCTAATAGCACTCTATTTTACCACCAATTTGATTCTTTGATTTAATGTCCCATCTCGATGTTTGCTTGCTCAGTGAACATTTAGTGTATCAAATAATTTGGATGGCAATACCACCTAATTGCATAACTATAAGCCACCTGCCAGTCATGACTCGTTGGAGGAGATAGGACATGACTGCAGTTTCTACCTTTATGACGTTACATTTCACTGTGTGTTTGCGGCACAAGGAGGAATGGCTTTGTACCCCTTAAAATTAATGGCTTTTTCAACCTTTCTTTTTAGGATCTTTCTGTTAAGTTCCAACAGAGCAAAGATCCATAAGCAACTGTACTATAACCTTGTTCATATGAAACTCTGCTCAATCGTTTTATTCACTGAAGAATAGGATCTAGCACTTCTCTCTCTTCATGCTAATATAACATTTTCAATATTATTTCATAAGTAATTGCTTTAAAAAATTTTGTTATTTGTTAAATGCGGCCAACTGGATTAATTTTGATTGTATTTAGTGTGAATAGTACAAGGATTTATTCATTCTGGAGACAGACCAAGTTGAAACTTACAAGCTTGAGTCTCGTCTCAAATAACGATTTCTTTATATATTAATTCTAAATCTGGTCCGAGTTTGTTTCATGCTAATTGAAAATAAATTTCAAGGTTTGGGATGAAGTCGAAAGTTCAAATCTTCACTCTTATCTATAGCACCTGATTTTTAAACTCTTCTTTTTCTTAGTATCCAAGTATAACTTTTGACATTCGAGTAACCCCTTGAATTTTCCCAAAACTTCTACGAAACTATTTTTTGAATCAGTTTTGTATATAGAATGAAGATTTGAATTCCTAGGGTTCAACTCGTTGGAGATAAGTTGTGAAACACATTTAGGTCCCTGAATGAGGTTCTAATTCAGTTGACAAATATGCATATTCTTTACTTTCCTCCTGTTATTGGATATGCTTGGCTTGGGCGCTTTTGAATTCGGTTCGTTTTTATTTTTCTTTTTGGGTTGTGGCGAATCTTCAATTACTCAGTCACTATCAAAATCAATTCATGCATCAGATACAAATAACAGCAATGTATTTACAACTGATCACTTCTAATATTTATTAACTATAAAATATCTAGATGCCTATAACTCAAAAACTCCATCATACCATTTTCTATTTTAGAAGATCTCGCTCTTTAATATTTCAAAAAGGCCACAAAAACCATAAAATAATTATGCACATAGAGAGGATATTTTTATGGGGACAAAGCAAGTCCAATAATAACGGATGATTATGCTTCAAAGTAGCTTAAATTACAGGTTGCTTTTGTTGAAAGTATGCTTCATTTGACTGAAACTTGATGTAGTTTAATTACCTGGTCTGTCAAAATACTGTCCTGATTAAAAATATAAACAGGCATGTTACACAAGTAGCGGATGTAAAAGAAGATGCTTTGGAGTCATTGTATGAAAAAAGGTTGAGAGAAAATAAAAAAAAGAAGCCAAATAAGGAAATAGAGGAAAATGCAATTGAGATTGATCCTGTTGATGCGCTTCCTGTAAAAACCTTAGATGGAAAACTCTACTATAGAACAGGTATTTTTCTAATATTTAATATTGGTGAAAAATTGTTCTCTTTGGTTCTTTATATGCAAAAGTGAAAATGTGTTCGATATTTCAGTGCCAAGGAGATTAAGAAGGTTGAAAGTGAATCTAATGAAGGCGATGCCACTATATAGGATCCAAGTGTGGTGAACTTGACAAAAGCAGAAAAACGCGCAAAGCTTAAGAAATTGAGGAAAGAGTCAAAGAAACAAGCGAAAGAAGAAGTGCAGCAAAGTTCCCAGGCAAAAGTTTTGGTACGCATATTAATCTGCAACTTTTTGATTTGATACACTGATGGCGTCCACGTGAGAATATGAGAATGATGAGGGCATCACCTGTTGGACCATCTTATTTTGCTTTGGACTAATTTACTTTTGCTTTATTAGTTGGGTTTGTATTAGGGTCGGCCCAAGCCCCATAACTATTAGGTTTATTTTTATTATTTATTTCTTTGTATTAAACTTCCAAGGGAGGATGATTTGATGAAGATGAATGAAATGTTTGGTTAAGTTTTCTCCTCCCCGACTTTCTCCCCTGATTCTCTTCTTCTCCGGTCTTTTCCCCCGTTCTCTTCGGTTCTTCTATTTCTTGCTGTCTATTTCTTCTTAGTCTTCTGCTTATTTTCTGCTGGTCATTGCTTAGCTAATAAAATCCCCATTGATTCTACATCAACTTCGTATTAGAGCCAAAGCTGGCTTCTTTCACCCATTGTTCAAAACCAGTCAATTTATTCTTCTGCCATCATCGCTGCCACCATAATCGGGAAACATGCCCAACCCCCACCATAACCGCTGCTGCAACTCTCGCCATCACACCCACAGACCCCGTAACTTCCTAGCATCTTTACCATTACATACACACAAAAACCGCCACCAGCCTGCCACTAACCAATCCATCAGCATCACAGCAACTCCAAACCCAAAACGTGTACCTAGCAGTAACCGTCCCTCTTAACTGCCAACAACTACCAATCTTCCCATAATCTACATCAACAGCCCATTAAAACCATAAGAAAACACCACCACCCCTACAAGTTAAACCTCCAACCAACAGTAACCGCCGACCACTTCACAGTTGACAACTCGCCAAATTCAACCACCCAAACGGTGACCCAGAAAATTTCAACCAAATCACAGGCGTTGATTTTCCTCACGCTGTCATCACTTTCTCCAAAGCTACATAAACAACTGGAGAGAGGAAGAGATTTTATGGAGAGAGCTTCACTTTCGCTTGAACCACCCAGCGATTGTCGTGCCCTTCGACCGTCGCCTCTATTCTTGGCAACCAACCACCGGTCATCCTCGCAGCCGACGTCGTCATCATCGTCAACCACCACCCGTCCACTCACAAACTGTCTCGAAATCCAATTCATGGACAGCTGCCATACCCAGCTTATCGCCACTCATTTCTTCATCTTCAGCCACCGACCTCGCCAACCAAGCAGTTACCTCCCCTCCTCGGCAGCCAGAACCATCGTCGATCAACAGCCCAGACACGATTGAGTTCATGAGTTGAACCTCCGTTTTCATTCTTCTTAATTTTGTCCTCATGTAATTTAGGTCAATTATGCCCTTTTGTTAGTTTTTATATAGTTGAGTTTGCTTAGTTGTTTAAAAAAAATGAAAAAGAAAAAGAGAGAGAAAAGGGAAAGGATAAAAAAGAAGAAGAGAAATTCCCGTCATTATTTATAGGTGATCTTTTAATTATGTTGATTGACAGCTTTGCCACAATAGCCTGTGCCAATTTGAAATTTACGATTGGAGCATTGTTTGACTCTTGCAAGTCCCTTGAGGTAACAATTTTATTATATTGAATATATGCTTTTATTTTAGTATCTTGGCTTGTCAATTAAAAAAAAATGTTATGGCTTGAATATCAAATGTTAGAAGTCCACTTGTTAACAAATGGACGAAAACTTCTTCAATTTTCATTGTCTTTTAATGAACTCATATCGTTACTTGCACACTCTGAGTATTTGCTTTCACGAGTGGATCCATTGCCATCTTTTCCATGCTTACATCTATTAATACACTTAGCACGGCATTGATTTCGAATAAGCTATTAAGATATCCTGAAGTTGCTATACAAGTAGCAGTTGTTTCTTGTCTTGGTGAAATATTCTGTATTACGGCATCCGATCCCCCCATTTGTGATGAAATAATCCAGGATATTTTTCTATTGTTTATATCCTCATTTGCATATCTCACAAGCACATTCATCAATTTGTATTTTACAGCAGTAAGGATACTAGATACCATGGCTAATGCAAAATACTACCTTATCATGTTGGACTTAGATTGTGAACGTACGATTATTGACATGTTCCAACACTTTCTTGTAGCTCTAAAAGAAAATCATTTAGAGAATGTCTTCACATCCATAGAGACTATCATGACCTTTACATTGGAAGAAAGTGACAATATCCCTCTGGACTTGATTACACTTTTGTTGGATAGTGTTCAAACGAAACACAAAGAGGTTTCTACTATTGCATTTTGTGTGGTGGAAAGACTTATTGAGAAGTGTGATGACAAGATCAAACCTTACTTTTTACAAGCTATAAAATCTCTAGGGGTTTGTTTAGATGATTATAGTGCAGTTCTTTCCTCCGTATTTTCAGAAGTCGATACTTGTGAACAGTGTATTGTGTCCCCTATTTTGACCACATCTATAGTCGATACACTTAATAGTGACTTAATTGAGAAAGTACCTAAATTAATGTCATCGAAGTCAAATATTTCAGATGTCTTAGATCTAGTGCCTACTATGTTGCATGACTTTAATGTTGACTTTGTTTTAGTTCTTCCTCAATTACATGAGATTCGAGGGGTTGCCACATTGTTCTCTAAGGTCCTCACTCGATTGCACACTCTTCCTATTGACATTAGGATGTTGCCTGCTAATTATCGACACAATGTGCTAGCTCTTCATTATTTTGACAATATTCCTAAATTTCATGTCAAGTTAAAAGGTCAAATCATTTCCGATCATGAAATTTTCAAATTTACTTTCTATGTGCTATATAAATTAGAGTATTCGTACAAAGGTTTTCTATTTGATTGGCCATCAAACTTAAATGAAAGTTATATTTTCAATATAGAAGAATTGTTTCCTAATCAAGACATATTCGAGCATTCGATGTTGCAATCTTTTGTCTCTACAGGCCAATATCAAATGCTAGCTTCTTGTGCTCCTCACTATGTACAACCACGTGAAGATTCTGGAAATGAGTTGCATGGGTATTTGTTACTTGGAGACCAATTTCATAACTTGATTAAAAGGAGAGATCGTCCTCCTTGGTCGGCTCATATCCTTGAGGATAAGTTGCTTCTTTCATTTATATCAGCTGTCGAGTTTCGATATTTGGTTCTTCAGAGAAATCGTCCACCGTATGAGTTTAGACACTAACTTGGAGATGGACGATAGCTCTTTTGTGATTTATCCATTCGACGGGGTCGAATTCTTCTTCCACCTCGGGAGAATTGATGAGGGCATCACCTGTTGGACCATCTTATTTTGCTTTGGACTAATTTACTTTTGCTTTATTAGTTGGGTTTGTATTACGGTCGGCCCAAGCCCCATAACTATTAGGTTTATTTTTATTATTTATTTCTTTGTATTAAACTTCCAAGGGAGGATGAATTGATGAAGATGAATGAAATGTTTGGTTAAGTTTTCTCCTCCCCGACTTTCTCCCTTGATTCTCTTCTTCTCCGGTCTTCTCCCCCGTTCTCTTCGGTTCTTCTCTTTCTTGCTTGCTATTTCTTCTTAGTCTTCTGCTTATTTTCCGCTGGTCATTGCATAACTGCTAAAATCCCCATTGATTCTACATCAGAGAATGAAATAACTAGTGATTGATTGGAGTACAGCACTCAGTTGGTTACTTTTTATTTTTCACATGCTGTCATGGGATCGCCATAAGTTATAATATTTCCATTCTATAATTCATTTATCATCAAATTGAAAGTCAATGTTCATGCCAGATTTACCTTGAACGATATTAATTCTGGTTTATGGGATGGGTTTTGAATTACAATCTGTGATGGGCCGTATAGTAAGGTGTATGTTTCTTCAGGTTGCCTACATATAACTGAATTTTGCAGATTAGAAAAATCTGTGTAGGAAAATTTAGTGGGCTGAGTTCAGAATTCAGAAATTTTGGGGTAAAATTCACATTTCAGAAGTTTATAATCAAAAGGAACCACAGGTTATAGAAATTATGAGGTTTTTGTGCATGAATTCGCTTTTCTGTGGAAATCTTCAGTCTATACTTCAGATGTTTTGCAATCTGGTTTCGAGTGAACTAGTATTATAATTTATTTTATTTTTTTCCTTTTTTCTAAATTTGACAACTTTGTTACCCATTAATCATAGTCTCAAGGAATGATGGGAAACCAAAAAGTTCTATCTATCTCTATCAATATGAACGCTGTTTCTTAAGTTAAATTTTGCGACCGTGTGCAGGATGAGGTGAAAAATGATATAACAGCTGAAGAAGCCAACGAGAGCAAGAAGTATAAACTTGCTGAGCTTGGAATTGCACTGCTTGCAGATCCGGAATCGAACATCAAGTCTCTAAGGGAGATGCTGGAGATTTCTAAAGAAGGAAACGGGGAAATCTTTGCTGGCTTTTTTCAAAGACATCATTCCAGGGTAATAATGTTGATTTGGTTTGTATCATGCCTTGCCATACGTGGCTCCACGTCACCAAGACCCTCTTGTCCACGTGGCCGACCACCAAGGTTCCTTGGTCAATTAGCCAACCCACTCAAGTTTTAGGCAATTCAATTTCCTGGAATTCTTTTTCTTTTCACCCAAATTCTATTTTTCAATCAAATGGATCCTTACATTAATCAGGTGGTAAATATTTTTCTTCAAAAATCAAGTATAATCTCATTTTCCAACCGCCCATTGCATTTCACTCCCCACCCCTACTTTCTTATCCCTTCCACTGCCATTATAATACCCACCCATCAAATACTATCCCACCTTGTCCCTACAAACATTTAATTCATACAGCAGGAAAAATCTCCTCTCCTTCAATGACATCTCATCTTTTCTATCAAGTTGTTTAAGTGGCCCGACAACAGAACTAAGGAGTGGCTGGTTGAGATGGTGGGTGCTTGAAGAAATGGTAATTCGACGGTGGGTGCTTGGAACTATAGAGCTTGGGAATGGTGAGTTGGGACGGTTGTGGTCCAACGATGCTTGAAGAAACTGCAAGAGAATACACACCACGTGTGTCATCGTTTTTTGATTTAGGATGATTAATTTTATTGTTATTATTTTTTTCCATTTTTTGAGTTGGCTAGTGAAATTTTATGGTTAAGATTTGTAATCGATGGAGGTCTTCAAGGTTTGGTGACGGTTGGTGGTGGTTCTGATGATAGTGTGATGCGGGGGGTGGTGGTTGGTGTTTGTTAAATGTGTTGGTGGAAGTGATGGTGATTATGATGGGAATTGTTGTTGTGAGTTTTGAGTTGAAGGTGGTAGTGGTCGTGAGTGGTCGATTGTGGTGTTGGTCTTTAGTGTGTGTAGATTTTTTGTGGTGATGCTTTGTGACCATATTAACATTGAGTCACAAATTAGACTGATCTGATCACTGACATTCATACTAAATAAAAATTTAGTCACAATAACATATATCAGTGATTTGGTTATGTATAGTTACAAATTAGACCGACTTAGTCAAAGGCGATCTAGTCACAGTTAGCCACGGATAGCATATGTATGATCACAAACAAGAAACCTGGTCACATATAATTCTGTCAATCAAAAAATTTGTCAAGTACAATGCAACACTACTATCACCATACGATACTCAAAACGCTGCTATTACCTCAAACCCCACTATCACCATTAAACAGATCGACTCCAATGCACTTTTATCACTTACAATGCACCATCATCGTTACCACGTAGATCTATTTTTCAAACCTTGCCACCTCACCCGTAAAAATATTGTGTTTGTGAATGTATATATAGAGAGAGAATATTTTTAATTTTTAGAGTTTTCTTCAATGAGGTAGGCTGGGGTTGGGTCCATCTTCATGGGGGTGTAGAGAAATTTTAATTTCTGGAGATTTATGGGGTGAGCTGCGTGTGGGGTGGGATATTATTAATTGATATATTATTAATTTGGTGGTAGTGAGTGGGGGTGGGGATACTATTAATCGGCCTGGGATAATTAATTTAATTAATTATATATTATTAATTGGAATTAGAACCTTGATTTTTAAATAATTTGACAAGTTTGTTAAATTTAAATGTAATTCTTATATGTAGGGGTTATGTATTATTTCCTTTCTTAAATATATCATAAATTTTTTTCCATTGGTGGCTATCATGGACATAAGAATTATCTATTACAAGAATCCTAATACCAAATTTTGAAACCCCAATAAATGAATACTCTATAGCCCAAATGGGAAATGACAAAATAAATATGATAAAATCAGGTTGTCCAGAAAAGGAGAAATTTCTGAAAACACATAGTAGATGTGAAAAAAAATAATAATGCATGTGAATCAAATCATCCATTCACGTGTTAGGGCCCCCTTTTATGGGATCCTTGTATTGTTTCTATCATAACAGCAAAGCAAAAATACCTTGGCTTTTTCCAACTTATTGACTTAAAAATAATGTGTGATGAAGATATGCGGTTACCTAGGTAACATGTGCCTTATGCATTAGTCAAGGGCAAATAATGCATGTGGATTTGGAAGTATATTTATATTTTGTCCTGAATCAAGAAAACTGATGGGAGATGAATAAGTTTGAAAGGAATCAATGCCAAGTGGGAGCCAGAAAATCAAGAAACATGAATATAAATGTCAATTTCAATTATGGGATATTTATATTTTCTTGAAGCTGGAGTTGAAATATTCAAAACCAAGATCTATTGCACAATGCAATAAACGAAAGTGATTTCCATTGTTGAATTCACCATGCAAGCTTCTATGTTTCATGACAGCTAAAAATAGGTTACGAAGAATGAGATCGACAAAAGGTTTCAATGTCGATTATTTGAAAGTTATTTTACGATGTATCCATAGTGTTAGCAACTGAAAAATTACTCTTGTGAAGATGTCTGATATAATTACTTTTAAAATTATGGCATTTCTTGCCCAATTGATGATATTTTTAATTAATAATAAAATTATTACTTGACTAAATTTGTAATTGCAATCATTGAACAAATGATTATTAAGAAATCAGTCCTTCTATTTTAATGAACGATAGAAGGAAATTCATGTATTTTCCGAGGCTCACACCTCTCTTGTCAAGATTTTATCAGCCATTTGTTCATGTTATGCCAACTCATCCGACGTGTAAGTGGGTCCAAAAATAAGTATTTTTCTACTTATTTATTAGCTAAATTTTGTTCAACATTCAAATGTGCACTAAATTAATGTTGCTCCTCTTGTACATACGACGTGTTTAATACGTCACATTAAATAAAATTAAGATAAAAAGTTGCGAAACGGTGAAAGAACGTATAATGATATAAAGTCGTACATTTGCCAATGACCACGATATATTGAAAATCAAATGAGAGATACGTCTATCAATTAAGTAGTCCAGCCAATAAACGAGGAGTACTTAGACTTAGTAAGTTGTGTGTACTAAAATAACAACACAAGATTGTGAATATCAAATAAGAAAAAACCTTTTACTAATTGAATAATCAAATTGTTGGAGTAAGACTTATAAATAACGAGTTGTACATACATTAATGACACGATAATGCACATGTCAAATAAAAAAGCTTTTAATAAAATAATACAATAATGTACTAATTCACTTTCCGCCTCAAATTAAAATTATACGTCTTTGTGATTTCACATATAATTGTAATTAATAATCCGTTATGAGTTTGGATCAAATCCAACTGACAAGTTTAATTAACTAATTAATGCTTCGACTAGGACTCTATTTCGTTCTTATTTATAAGAGTAACTAAGTGGGAAATATAATAAAAAACTAAATAATTTAGATATATTATATTTATTAAAAGATATAAAATATATGGAAAATATCCAGCGACCAAGAATCACGATAATTTATTAATTGCTTTCACATTACTCATAAGTCATGTCTTGATTTGAGCAATTATAAATTATAATAGAAAATCTCCTCCTCTTTCCAGGAACTTGAAGGCAACAAAAATATAGAAATATTGTTAGAACTTCGCTTTCTCCCCCAACAAATGCCGAATCCAAGACCTCTTGCCGATTCGCGGATCCAAACGTCCTCACAAGGCGCACAATAAGAATAAGACCAATAGAGAGGGCCGGAGGACTTTATTTACACTATTTCGTCAAATTAGAAGTTTGGGTGAATTTTGCCTTTTTCCTCTCAGCTTCCTCTACCAGTGGATAAGTTTTTCTTCAAGCCGTGAAGCACCACCATAACTGAAGTAAGATTTTCTCGGAAGAGTGATTGAGAATCTCGAGAACCTTTCTGAACGTCTGTCTTTGCGGGGCGATTGGAAAAGTCTATCTCGGAAAATACATATAATAAATAGTGTAATTAATACGTAACATCCAACTGTAAATTAACTTAACCATATAGGCAGCTCTTATCGAACAGCCTAAACATGGTCTCAACCTCTTTCTTCTCCCTCTTTACATTTTCTTTCACTATAGAAATTATTAATATGAGTATTGAATTGACCATAT